TCCCGAAGTGTTGCGGAACAAGGGTTTCAATCGTTCTCTCGATATGTGGAGTGTTGGTGTGATAGTTTATGTCAGGTGAGCAAACCAGAACTAGCTTGGTGATCTAACATTCGCTGATTATTCTCATAAGTTATTTGCATTACGCATGATATGACTGTACAGCTGCTTCCGACTAATGAAAATGGCTCAGTTAATGCATTGAGGGGAGAGGGGGGGGGGGGAGGGGAAAGGGTAGTGTAATACTTCGCTACTGCCCTTCTTGTATGTACCAGTCGGATCGCCCGCCTTCGGCGGGCGATCCTCCTTCCGCGTGTGAAGTGGGTCCCTGGCATTCCTACTGAGGCCCAGTCGGATCGCCCGCCTTCGGCGGGCGATCCTCCTTCCGCGTGTGAAGTGGGTCCCTGGCATTCCTACTGAGGCCCAGTCGGATCGCCCGCCTTCGGCGGGCGATCCTCCTCCCACTGTTCGCCAAAAAAAATTTTTCAAAAATTTCCGCACTTTACCGTTTCATTCGTCGTATATACCCCCCCTAGAAGGCGGTCGCCGAAATTTCCTATAGGGTAGCCCGTTTATTGTTAAGGACTTGCGAATGAACAGGGATCTCTCTATCTGTCTCTCATTCGTCTAGCTACCCGCTGCTCAGTTTCACTCATATTCCCCCTTTCGTGGTCTCCGGATGCATTTTGGGGATTTTTATTCTCGGCTTCTTCCACTTCGGCGAACGCCCCGCCCATTGTGGGCGGAGCTCAGGTGAGGCTTTGTGTGCTCTGCAAATGCTGGCCCATGCCAGGTCTATTCTAAGCACAAACGGGTCTCTTGAAGTGAATTCCCACGAAACCCCAATTTCAAGTGGTCAGACAGACGCACACACACACACAACAGCTGTCTGCCCGACCAATGCAAAACTTGACCCATTCATCGATTGCGTAGATGTGTTGGAACGGAGGTTCATGTCCCTCACACGCTTCCTTGTACGATTGAACTGAAAATGGAGACTCGGCTCGCTGTCACACCTGTCTCGCCCATGGAACAGATAATGTTATGGGGCATGTTGTGTGTTGTGTTGCGTTGTGTTGCGCGACTACCGTGTCTCCGGAACCCTGAGGTCAAATTCACGAGACCCGAACTTTATGCAATAGTGTTTATCTTACCTGGATATATCAGCGATCTCTCAGTAAACCTTCTACCTAGTGTCGGCTAGACCTTAGCTTGAGTTTGCTTCGACTTCGTCAAAATCCCTGACTTTGAAGATATTTATTGTGCGGAACATATAGAATACATAACTTTTCCAGAAGTCTTGACATAGTTTGCACAACGAAAACAATTTTGCAGCGGGTTACCTTCACTGGAAGGTAAAGTTCCGTGATGAAACAACATGATTGCAGGTGTGAGTATGTTCGTACAAAGCCTAGCATTAGCCGGACTTTATATGTATTATTAAAAGTGAGAAGCAAAAAAAAATTCACGGATATCCCTTGGAGTAGGAATAGACTTTGAGCAGTTACAGCACGATTTTTTAAAAGAATTTTTCGCTACTCAGCGCCAACTAACCGCTGGAGTCGGAAGTCATAAAAGAAACAATTGCGGCAGAAGAATGGCAGAAGAAGAGCAATCACAGAAGCCTCAGAAAGGCATGAACAGAAATCCAAATTCCAAATCAAAATAGAAGTTGTTCTCAGTTTGCAAAGCAAATCTTTTACAATTAGTGATGGGGGAATAAGGGAGGAGTTGCATTCTCGAACCGAAACTTTCATCCAAATTCTCATGTCGTAGGACTATTTAATACTTCTTCAGTTAAAGGTGAACTCGCTCGCTAAAAGTCACGTAACTGTAGGTCCAGGGTAAGCGATTTGAGAGTTAACAAATCTAGAGTGGATACGGATGCCGTTCGGAACGGGAAAAGAGCAACAACCTCGGAAATTCTAATACTGCAACAGCTGCAGGCCAACTCAGCCTCTGTAAAGCATTATGGAAGAACGCTTAAATGAAGCAGCTAGTGTTTAAGAACCTGGATGAAGTGAACCCGGATGCCGTTCACAAAGAAGCACGGCAGTCGGAGAAGGCTCTGATCCAGTTAAAGATGAGGTCAGTCCCTGAAAAGCCTCATAGTTAAGTGCCCTCGTTAAGCACTTCAAGTGTTCACGAACCTGGGTAAACTGAAAAGGGATGAGGCGCTGTTCACGAAGGAACAGGCAGTCGGAGGAGGTTTCGGAAGGCATCAATTCAGTTGGAGATGAGTTCAGTTCCTGAAAATCCTCATAGTTATGTGCCCATGTTAAGCACTTCGAGAGTTACCAACCTGGATAAACTGAACACGGATGCCGTTCAAAGGAGCGGAAAAATACTTGGCAGTCAGAGGAGGTTTCGGAAGGCATCAATTCAGTTGGAGATGAGTTCAGTTCCTGAAAATCCTCATAGTTATGTGCCCATGTTAAGCACTTCGAGCTTTACCAACCTGGGTAAACTGAACACGGATGACGTTCAAAAGGAGCGGAAAAATACTTGGCAGTCAGAGGAGGTTTCGGAAGGCATCAATTCAGTTGGAGATGAGTTCAGTTCCTGAAAATCCTCATAGTTATGTGCCCATGTTAAGCACTTCGAGAGTTACCAACCTGGATAAACTGAACACGGATGCCGTTCAAAGGAGCGGAAAAATACTTGGCAGTCGGAGAAGGCTTTCGAAGGATGTAATCTTGTTGAAGACGAGGTCAGCTCCTGAAAAGCCTCATAGTTATGTGCCCATGTTAAGCACTTTAAGAGTTTGTGAACCTGAGTAAACTTTATTTTCTATTCATTACGGGAAGAATTTTTTCTGTGAACTGTGAATAGAGATCAACTCGTCTAGTGAATAAAGGCACTACCCAGCGAATGCAGTTTTGCGCGGAGAAAGTTTCATAATCATCAAATTTCGAACCTCTCTCCAGCGACGAATTTGGAGAAGCCAACAAAAAGGTGGCGCTTTACGTCATCTTTACAAAAACGCCGATACCATATAGCAGAAAGTGTTAGTAAGCCTGAAATATGAAGTTTGCTGAAATTATCGGGCAGCAAAGGTTTTGGAGGTATGTGAAAGCATGAGAAGCGGTTGACTTACTTGGAAAGTAACACATGTGTAGAATAGTAATTAAGAGCTGACTCAGTGTGAATACAGCAGTAGTTGTTGCAGAATACGGTCCGATATTTGTAGAGGTAGAGAATGAGAGATTCATAAGACACTCTTGTACACAATATTTCTGAGTTTAGGCTTTGGTGAGAGGATTCTAACTGAATCAGAATTTTTGGCTCTTGACAATGCCACATACAGCTGACCGTGGGAGAATACATCGTCGGGAAGATAAATTCCAACTTTTGACAGTGTCTGACCCTGCGCCTTGTTTATGGTGGTGGCGAATGCGAGACGAATCGGAAACTGCCGCCTTCGGAGTCGAAATGGCAGCCCTTTATCTGTATAGTTGTCTATGCGAGGGATGAGGACAAATTGGTTGACCCTGTTTCCCGTAGCAAATCGACATCCGAGTACATACCGCCCAAGCTGGTCAACAATAAGCCTTGTGCCGTTGCAGAGACCGCTAGATACGTCGAGATTGCGCAGCAGCATGACAATGCATCCCTTCTTCAACTTGAGCTCATGCGGTGGCATTCCACTGGGTAGTAATTTGTTGAGATGCTCCACTTGATAACTGAAAGCGTCTGCTGGATCCGCGTTCTCTGCCTCATCTACGCTCTTGTATATCTTCACCTCTAGATTCTCCGGCATTCGCTGCAGTGCTAACTCGTTCATGTAAGCGACGTGTACGTTTTTTGGGGCTAGTATAGCTTTATGCGCTAATTCGGCAATATCATCGACTGCGATGGTTTCACCGTAAACATCACTGATGAGATCCCCGGTACTATAGAGTGTCGGTGGCAGTCGGATGAAACCATTTCCATCTTCTTCATATCTTCCCTCACCTATTTTGAGCAGCATTCTCGCCCACTCGTCATCATCTGATGTGGCTCGCATGTTAACAGAAAGATGATAGGTGACAAACCCTTGCCAAAGGTATGAGTTTTTGATGCAGGCATTTTCCAAATCCTCCTGACGTCCTCTCTCAATCACAGGAAGAACTTGGCGAAAGTCTCCTCCTACAATCATGAGCTTCCCTCCAAAAGGCTGCTCATTTTGCATTACGTCTCTCAATAGGAGGTCCACTGCTTCCATAGTCCATTTTGGCACCATCGAAATTTCGTCCCAAAAAATAACGGAAATGTCTCGAAGGACTCGAGCCTCGGTAGCCTCCCTTTTCATGGTGCTTGTTTTACTGCCGTCATGTATATTCAATTTGAAAGTGCTACTTGCCGTTCTTCCGTGGGGTAACAGGTTCGCAGCTATCCCCGTCCATGCTACGCATATAACCTTTTTTCCTCTGCCTATCAGAGTGTGATACAGAGCTGTATACAGAAACGTTTTCCCACTTCCTCCAGGGCCATCTATGAAGAAGTTTCGCGCAGTATGTCCTTCGTCTACATTCTGCAGAATGTTGTGTGCTGCTAAACTTTGCTCTGTATTTAGTTTTGCAAACATTTCCGCCCCTCTTGCAATATGCTCTTCTTCTGACAAACGGTGCTCAACGTTATATGCGGGTCTACCGTCAACAGGAGGAGCAATAAGAGTGCTCAGATCCTTTCCACTGAGTTGCATTCTGTCAAAGACGTCGAAGTATGCTCGGTTCACGGCTTCATCGTTGCTCATGCCGCGATGGACATAATCTTCTGACATCGCTGATTTGAACTGTTGCCACAGGCGTTCTGGATTGGTAATATCGCAGAAGCAAATAACACTGCTGAAGAGCGAACGGAGCTCCTCTGGCATTTGATATTCCGCTGCTTCTGCCAGGCAACTGTCATAGTGTGAATCATCATGCATCAGTCCCAGAGCTATCGCCGTCTCTTTGAAAGTATTATAAGTAGATCCATTTACCGTCTTCAGATCTTCAAACGATTTCGCTCCCTTCCTGTTGAGCAGTAATATTCTCAAGCTGTAGCGTTCCATGTCCAGTGGGTTTGCAGTATACATCCGTCCTATTTGACGACCTCGTCTTTTCCTAGAAGCCCACTTCTTTTGCCTGCTGAATGTGAAGTGTTCCGGGAGCTGAATATAATGCAGTGTTCGTGCATCGACTTCCCCCTCTGGTGCGTCTCCAGTTCCATAGACAGCCTCATGTTCTGCATTTAGCTTGAAATAGGCTGTAAGGGTGGTGTCCTGTTGTGCGGCTCGGAGAAGAGCCTCTTGCTCTTCACCACCATGGAACGTCACGCTTTCCTGTTCCGGCAGGTGAACCTGCAGTCTATAAACGGTATCCGATTTAGATTGTAGATCGAATCCAAGCAATCTGTGTGTAGCTTCCGGCGCGCAGACGTACCTCGCATTGACGAACGCGTCAATTTCATTGACCACTCTATCCTCACCGTCCCCTGCGGTTCGTAGCATGCGCAGAGATGCCCTATCTGGGCCTTTGTAGACGTACTTGTACATATATTTCACTGCATGTATCAGCGCGCAGATTTCAACGTTAAGGTGTCCGTTGTAACGGAGCGCTAGATATTTGTTGTACGGCACTACAGATCTATTGTCTAGAACAGTGTCGCCCGATAGGACTGTCCTACCATCGTTTGGTCTCCGATATTCAGGATAGCCGTCAAGATCCATGTTAGTGATATCTCTGAAGGCTTTTGGATACCTTTTCGAACACTGGCCTTTAACCATACAGGGCGCATCTGGACGCTCTGGCCCGCACGGTCTGTGCATCATGCATGTTGTCACAATGCGATGCAGTCGAGGTTCTGTCTGCGGATCCGGAATAACAGCTTGCACTATAGAGTCCACCTCAGCCCCACTTCTCGGCTTGTCCTCTTCGGCTAACGTTAACAGAGCGTGGCAGTGAGGTAGTCCTCTTTTTTGCCATTCCATAACGCTAATATACGCGATTACTCTCCCGAAGATATGTCGTTTGAGTAAATCGACAAACAGTTCTCGCAGTTTGATGTGGAAAACTCGAGCAACAATGTCGGGCCGGTCAGATGCTGTCTGACCCGCACGTAATTGTTCCGTTATCTCTCTCCATGTTGGGTTGCATGTGAATGTGATGAAGAGGTCCGGCTTCCCATATTTCGACACTATCGCCATGGCATCTTGATAATTTTGCACCATGGCACGTGGAGACCCAGGAAATGACGATGGCAAAATGATCTTCTTGGTACCTGGTGGCCCAGCAATGTCCAGATCACCTGCCACGTAGTCGGCAAGGCCGCGGTAAGTGTCCACCCGGAGCTCTCTCTGATGAGTGCGGTCGTAGTTCAAGCGGTTCTGTTCTATTTTCACATAGCTGTCCACCAAGAATTGCTGGTACAGTTTGCCTGCCAAGTGAAGAGGGTTGAACCCAGTTCTTACGGCTATCATGTTTGAATAGTACTCTTTTTGGGTTATTCTCGTTCTTGTTCCTCGTTGTCGATTTTTTTGCATATTCGGATGCCAGCCAAGTTCTCCGCGAGGAAATAGGAGCGGATATGATAGAGGATCACATTCGGGTTCGTAAACACGGATATCCCTCAAACCTCCTGACTGTAAGTGCACTGCGAGACTATGCTGAGCTGGCACATCTCCCTCTTCACCGACGTAAACCACTGCTATCTCATTTGCTGTAGGTTCGTTGTATCGCCGTGGATCCATGTTAGACGTCTCAAAAACCATTTTCACAGGCATAGCTGATCTTTGTTCTCTAATGGCTCGGGCTTCCTCTTCCAAAGCAACTTCATTCAGCATCTTGTAGGCTTGTGCGAAAGCATTAAGTTCATGCATCAAAACAGTGAGCGAACCGATCGTAATAGGGTTGCAGTTGACGTTTGCAGGATGTCCTGCTCTTTCCTCTGCTGCCATTGCCGTGTCAAGGATATAAACCTGTCCATAACGTGGAGATTGACCTACATCCGGCCGTGCTGGTCCGATTTTGTGATAAATCTGGCCATGGATTCGGTAACAGTAAGGTCCCCTTCTAGAAGGTTTCAACTGAGCTCCTATCGATGCGAATGCAAACGCGCTGTTGTAGCTGCGAATATGTTCGCGGAATTCTTTTGCATCCATATCTTGACTCGTAAACAGTCGCTGTAATAAGGCAGGAAAGTTGCTGAAGTGCTGCAATGTAATACTTCCGTGATTACAACAGTCATTGAAAGTGCTTCTGCCTGGTTTCCTCTCCGACCTGAAATGCAGAGCTCCACAGCTCCTGCATTCCACATTCATGGGCCCGTCATAATGTTCTTCTGGAACGCCACTTGAGCGTCCTATTCTTCTCTCTCTGGCAGCCACATCCCTAATGTTAACTTGTTGTTCTCCTGATCCGACTTCTGGACTTCCATCAGTGTTAGCTGCTGGAAGACCTGTTCTTTGCAATCGCCCACCTCTTAACGTCGTTCGTGTCCATGTTCGCAGAGCCTGTTCTGACAGGCGTGCTCTTCGTTGCTCCGAACTTTCCCGTCCTCTCCTAGCTCTACCGCTTTCGACATTCTGCGACAGACGAGATCTTCGTTGCTCCGAGCTTTCTCGCTCTCTTCTAGCCCTACCGCTTTCGGCACTCTGCGACAGACGAGCTCTTCGTTGCTCCGAGCTTTCCCGCTCTCTTCTAGCCCTACCGCTTTCGGCACTCTGCGACAGACGAGCTCTTCGTTGCTCCGAGCTTTCTCGCTCTCTTCTAGCCCTACCGCTTTCGGCACTCTGCGACAGACGAGCTCTTCGTTGCTCCGAGCTTTCCCGCTCCCTTCTAGCCCTACCGCTTTCGGCACCCTGCGACAGACGAGTTCTTCGTTGCTCCGAGCTTTCCCGCTCTCTTCTAGCCCTACCACTTTCGGCATTCTGCAAATGGCGCGTTCTGCCTTCTTCTGAGCTTTCTTGCCTCCTTCTAGCTCTGGCTCTAGTAGCAACGCCTGACTGGCGTCTCGTTCTCTGCTCCGAGCTTTCCCGCTCTCTTCTAGTCCTGACTCTTTCAGCAGTTCGTGAAAGACGGGCTTGCCTTTGCTCTGCACTTTCTTCTTCTCTCCTAGAACTTGTCCTCTCAGCAACTCGCGACAGCCGCACTCGTCTTTCCTCTGAGCTTTCTCGCCATCTCCTGATCCTGTCTCTATTAGCATTATCAGACCGTCGAGCTCTTCGCTGTTCCGATGTCTCACGATTTCTTCCTATCCTCACTCTTTCAGCATCGCGTGAAGGCCTTGGCTGCTCATCAAATTCTGGCTGTCTCTGCTGTCTAGTTGTCGCAGTACTTTGAATACGATGGGTTCCAATGTGTATTTGCGTCTCTTCAGTCCTCGTTCCCAGCGCCGTTGTTGCTGAGCTCGGGCGATCCTCTCTATCACGACTTGTTCCATTTCCGCTCATACCTGCCTGAAAAAAATTTAAAAAATTTAAAAAAACTAAAAGTACACCACCATTAATTACCTAAGATAGGTCTCCCGAGGGTGTCCGGCTGTTCGACATATGTCCGGCTGTTCGTTCAACAAATTTGGTAACAGGTTATGGTGCAACTCAGCACGGGCGTCGACGACGAAACCGTTTTTCGGTTTGTAGCCGCCAATGGTCGCTAACCCAGTGAGATTTCCATTAGCACAGTAAGAAAATGTTAATGCGATAAGCCATGAACTGGGTGGGTGTGATCATATTACAAACACAAATCGTTTGTTGTAAAAGTAACATGACCCATGGTTGAGATGGCTTACAATTACGACTCGTCTACGCTGCCCTGTGTGTAAAAAAATTTTCCCAGGCTACACACATCAATTATCTGAACCTAACCTGGCAGAGGTTATACTCCTACGCCAGGATCTGCCAGTTGTCTGTTCAGTGAACAACAAATTTTCTATTAAAATCGGAAAAACCTTCTTCCAGCCCTTGGCAACCACAGTCCGTCAAGCCAGCGAAATTTCAATGAATACAACTGCAGTAGTGGGATGTACCCTGAACTGGGTCCGGCTGCTCATATTACAGACGGAAACCATGCACTGCGAATAAGTCAGTCAACAGCAAATTTTCGATTGAAATCGAACAAATCGGTTTTTCAATTTCGAGCTACCACAGGTCGTCAAGTCAGCGAAATTTCAATGAGTACAACTGCAGTAATGGGATGTGCCCTAGACTGGGTCCGGCTGCTCATATTACAGACGGAAACCATGCGCTGCGAATAACATAATCCTTCAACTGACTTACAGTATCACTGATACTCGTCCACGTTCCCTCGTGTGAGACAAAAACATTCTAAGAGAAAACTGGTCAATAAAATCTGGAGTGATTTCTCTGGAGTCATACCTCAGTGGTGGATCTGCCAGCTCCATTTCCAATCTCTTTCCTTATATCAAAAGTGAAATTTCTGTTGGAAGCTCCCTAGGGGAAAAAGGATCCATTTATTTACCTGGGGTACCATTAATATTCCTATACATTTCCCTGTGCGGGGGAAGAAGAGAAATATTCCGATCGTTACCGATCAATGGGGGTTAAAGTGAGGAGTTTATTTTCGTGGTAAGACCTGCCAGTTGTCTGTTCAGTCAACAGCAAATTTTCTATTGAAATCGAACAAATCGGTTTTTCAATTTCGAGCTACCACAGTTCGTCAAGCCAGCGAAATTTCAATGAGTACAACTGCAGTAGTGGGATGTGCCCTAAACTGGGTCCGGCTGCTCATATTACAGACGGAAACCATGCGCTGCGAATAACATAATCCTTCAACTGACTTACAGTATCACTGATACTCGTCCACGTTCCCTCGTGTGAGACAAAAACATTCTAAGAGAAAACTGGTCAATACAATCTGGAGTGATTCTTCAGGGGTGGGATCTGCCAGCTCCGTTTGCAATCTCTTTCCTTATATCAAAAGTAAAATTTCTGTTGGAAGCTCCCTGGGGATTCCTCTACATTCCCCTGTGCGGGAGAAGAAGAGAAATGTTCCCGATCGTTACCGATCAATGAGGGTTGACGTGAGGAGTTTGTTTGTGTGGGTCTGTTCAGTCAACAGCAAATTTTCTATTGAAATCGAACAAATCGGTTTTTCAATTTCGAGCTACCACAGGTCGTCAAGTCAGCGAAATTTCAATGAGTACAACTGCAGTAATGGGATGTGCCCTAGACTGGGTTCCGGCTGCTCATATTACAGACGGAAACCATGCACTGCGAATAACATAATCCTTCAACTGACTTACAGTATCACTGATACTCGTCCACGTTCCCTCGTGTGAGACAAAAACATTCTAAGAGAAAACTGGTCAATAAAATCTGGAGTGATTTCTCTGGAGTCATACCTCAGTGGTGGATCTGCCAGCTCCATTTCCAATCTCTTTCCTTATATCAAAAGTGAAATTTCTGTTGGAAGCTCCCTAGGGGAAAAAGGATCCATTCATTTACCTAGGGTACCATTAATATTCCTATACATTTCCCTGTGCGGGGGAAGAAGAGAAATATTCCCGATCGTTACCGATCAATGGGGGTTAAAGTGAGGAGTTTATTTTCGTGGTAAGACCTGCCAGTTGGCAGTCAACAGCAAATGTTTCTATTGAAATCGAACAAATCGGTTTTTCAATTTCGAGCTACCACAGTTCGTCAAGCCAGCGAAATTTCAATGAGTACAACTGCAGTAGTGGGATGTGCCCTAACTGGGTCCGGCTGCTCATATTACAGACGGAAACCATGCACTGCGAATAACATAATCCTTCAACTGACTTTCTCTTTCCTTATATCAAAAGTAAAATTTTCTGTTGGAAGCTCCCTAGGGGAAAAAGGATCCATTCATTTACCTAGGGTACCATTAATATTCCTATACATTTCCCTGTGCGGGGGAAGAAGAGAAATATTTCCGATCGTTACCGATCAATGAGGGTTAAAGTGAGGAGTTTATTTTGTGGTAAGACCTGCCAGTTGTCTGTTCAGTCAACAGCAAATTTTCTATTGAAATCGAACAAATCGGTTTTTCAATTTCGAGCTACCACAGTTCGTCAAGCCAGCGAAATTTCAATGAGTACAATGTAGTAGTGGGATGTGCCCTAGACTGGTCCACGTTCCCTCGTGTGAGACAAAAACATTCTAAGAGAAAACTGGTCAATAAAATCTGGAGTGATTTCTCTGGAGTCATACCTCAGTGGTGGATCTGCCAGCTCCATTTGCCAATCTCTTTCCTTATATCAAAAGTAAATTTTCTGATGGAAGCTCCATAGGGAAAACCGTAGCGTATGTAAATAGAACTGAGGTTTCAGTGGCGTTAAGGTACCTGTTTAAAAATTCTTCAACTTCTCGACTTCCTCAAAACGGGTTAGTGATAGCGGTCAATGCGGCGGTCAATATAGAGAATTAGACTTGAGTATCTAGGAATAATTTCACTGGAAGAGATTAAGTAAAATTATAATATTCTGTGCTGCGATACTCGAAAGAGTCCTAGTCGTTTCATTCAGTTCAAGTGGAACCCCGCTCTGAAAAACAGAACAATGTCGGCGTTCTTTTGAAAAGGTGAGACTGCATGTCTCCTTCACTTTATGAATTCGATATTACCTGCTGGGGTCACGAAGTTTTTTGGGAAAATGTAGCGCAACTCCTATGGTCCTGTTCGATATATTGGTAAAGTAAATTACGCTGAAAAAGGCTGTAGCTTTCTCTTTGAAAATAGTGTCATTCATTTACCTGGTTGTTGCCGAATATTGTTTAAATTGAGTGTTCTGTTCGCTGATCAGATGTGGAAGATTTTGAAACAGAATCCAGTAGTCCGTAGTGAGCCTAGCTCAAATTAAGTAACGATCGCACAATTTCTTTCAATGGAGAAACATACAGTAATAACCGACTCAACCCCGAAAAAAGAGCTGATCTGACAAAATTGAAAGGAGAGTAAGATATGGTCTCTGCATGTGTGCAGATGTGCAGTTCCAAGCCTGCCTGTCCCAATTGAAAAGGAAGTGGTAGCTGTAGATTACTAACTGAGACGGGGCTGTGAGCGAAGGTCAAGCCAGCTCTACTCTGGGATATGAACGTATCCTGCGGTATTCGGATACACTATCACGGCGATGTCGATTCTGAGTAGCGAGACCTCCCCTATGACCAATATCGAAAATACGTGGATAACTCCTAGAGCATTATCGCAACCAACTTTGGAACATAGAGTGTTTGTCTACTCTCGGTTTATGCTCTTACATGGGAACGGTCGATGGAAAATTCAAAGTACTGAAAACCACATGGGCCAGCGCATTGAAGCCAGAGATGCAGAACTTTTCAGCTGTACGTCAGCGCACCTCGGTGCTTCACTGTTTGGATCACACACCTTCTGAATGAGCTCACATTTAATACACGTCAAATATACATGAACCCAATACAGCACAGTATCGTTCCCAACTGATAGACTTCTTCGCACGTCGCCATAGTGCCCCATTCCGTGAAGGTATCGTCGTAACAAATCGCCGCGATATAGCATTGGTTGGCATCTGCAATTCATGTAAAATTCATATAAAATTGACTGCTCGGGGAATCTTTTAGTTATAAAGAAATCGAATTTTTGGTTCAATTAATTGAGCCAATTTGAGAGGTTCTGTAATTCTGTAGTTTGAGAAGTTTTTCCAACGCCCACCCATACAAAGGCCCCTCCCACATGCCTTCTCCACTTCACCTGCCTGCCCACTTAATACTCGAGCCCGTTTCCCCAACCTATGGCTGCTCCGGGTTCGAACTGCGAAAATCTGACTTTGGCCCCGCCAACTCAGACAAACGCCCCTCCCACTTCAGGTGTACAGTCTCCATTGCAGCAGTCAGCGCACATCTTACGCAAGCCGGTTTCCCGTTTTCCGGAGTGCTCTGTGTCCAAAATGCGAAAACCCGACTTTGGCCCCGCCCACTCCAGACAAATGCCCCTCCCTCTTCGAATATGCCGTCTCCACTTCTTCTGTCAGCTCACATCTTACTCGAGCCAGTTTTTCCCACTTTCCGGGCTGCTCTGGGTCCAAACTGCGATGTTCTGGGTTTAAGCCTGGCCACCCAGGTGAACGCCCTCACTTCAGGTATACAGTCTGCATTTCAACTGTCAGCTCAGCTCTTACTCGATCCAGTTTTTTCCCCGCTTTAGGGGCTGCTCAGGGCCGAATTGCGAAATTCCAAGTTCAGCCTCACCACA